AAAAGATTCAAAACTGCGGAAAGTGAACTTGTGTAGTATTTAGTTTAGTGTAAATATACTGGAAACAACCAACAAATGAAATAATATAAGACTAGCGAACCTGACCAACAACATCTGTCCCCTCTCTTTCGCTAGTTATATAACCTACATGTGTACACAGCAGTTTTTCAAATAGATCCAATTAAAACAACCTTTTGTAAATTTGGGTGTATTGTGCATTTGTGTTTTATTTGATAACTAATTTTAGTACCAAAAATTATTTCCAATGGAATTCATAATTATCTGTAAATGTAATGAAAAAGTCAGATATCGAGTAAGCGATTATTAAACATGATAAATATTGACTGATTTGACTTCTCTAATATTTTTTTGTATTTGTTTTCTCTTTCAAAAGCCTACTATTATAAGCAATCATGTATTTGCATGTATTTAAAAAAAAATGAAAAGAAAATAAGTCAACAAAAATTAGAAAAGTCAAAATATACTTTCAAAAATAGTATTCGGTTCAGTTTTGCCATCATAACAAGATGATTTGTTATGCTATAAAAAATATGTATCATAAGTTATGAAAATTTTTTCCACTTATCTAGAAATATAATAAATTGATGTACTCACCTTCAGAAAAGTGTTTCTGGTTGTGCTGAGTTGAGTTTTCTTCTGCCATTAATTTAGAGGTGGCACAGGGCAAATCCACAATGCAGTCTTAATTATATCCCCTTTCTGTTAGCTGCCTCCGTAGCAGGGACACATCTATACAAAACACAATGTAGTTCTTATGCTTGCGTTTTTTGTCCAGATTTTACAGTTTTGGCCCATCCTTCAACATACATGTATTAACATTAAATGAGAAAGGATATATAAATATATACACAAACTCGGCATGATAATTCCTCAAATAATTTCTCCCAGGCATGTAATCATGGTAATTAGAGTACCAGTTCGTTCGATAAGACCCGACCATAACAGCTATCATATTACGATATCTAACATGTCTAAAGCATGCCTGCATAGGGAGGCGACATTTTCAGGTTAAAACAATCAAAGATAAGGGTCAGGTGACAATAAAAGATAGGCTAATCACACAGCGTGAGTTACCTTATTTATTTTAAAGAGAAGGCCTGTCACTTCCAGTCAATCATTGTAAATCATTTGTGCTCCACGTGGGTTTGTTGACAATAATTTCACGCTGAATCGTCTATATGTTAGATAATTACGCGAATGTAGTACACAATTGATAAAAGGAGTTACATACCTCTTTTCTTCTATTTCATACAAGACTATTGAAAAGATAAGTTCCTCAGTAGCTATGTACCTGTCATTAGTTCTTAAACATAATTACCTACTTGAACTATTTTGTCCCTCGTAGTATTTCTAAAGATCGCTTCAGTACCCCGTGCTAATCAAATGTTGAACCCGATTTGTTTATGTTTTAGACATACAGAGTTGTCGTTCGTTCTTCTCTCAAACGTGAAACGTATCAGCAGTAACAAAGTAACTATTCGTTCTATTATTAGGCTATTATTTTTATTGGACTTTTTTACATTAATCAAAATAAATTGTTAAAATAAATTCGCCATAACACACGCTTTTTGATTTGATAATAACGATAAAGATTGGGAAGGGGTCAAATATGATTAAGCGGGTTGTATGCCCTTAGTTTAAGATACATCCGTTTGGAGTACCATGAAGCGGGGCAAAACATCTTGAGAGGTCGAAAGGTCAACAAAGCATGCAAAAGTAAAAGGCGGCTTCCGCCTAATCACAAGAGTGTGCTTTAAATTTACAGCAATTCATTTCCAGCAAGAAATTATAGGATTTTTCTTCCACATGAAAATATATATAACATCTTTAAAGCACCCGAATGATAGAAATCTGGTCATTTTGAGTGAAAATGAAGGATAATCTGCTTTTGTTTCTCCATAGCTTATCTTGACAAGCTGATGAGTGTAATGCTTACGTCACATTTAAGCCGATGGTCGGGCGACTAAATTGTTCTGGCCTTGTCGGCTGAAAGAACAGGATCGGCCGACACAGTATCGGGCGTCACGGAGTAGCTGCAATAATGTAGCCCTCTCCGATTTTTATATCTGACATTTTCTGGAGAGGGCTACAATTCCACAGCATCTCCGTAATGGTGCAAAAATATTTTTTAAATGCGAGTGACTGCAGGCAGAATAAATTGTTTTTACATTCAACTTACTTCTAATAAGACGAAATTTTTATTCACTGTCGACATCATAGCTCGTTAAACGCGAAAACCATGTAAAATAAATCTGTGTATTTTCTTCTCGCTTTCTCAGCAGCCATGACAGTTCACGCGTGACGTACTGAGACTTGCGCTTGAAATTTAGAATAACTCAATAAAGCAAATGTCGATGTTTATAAATAATTGTGATGAATAGTAACACTAAACATCGATAAATAAAATCATTCCATGTGTCATTTTTTCGTAAACAGCGATATAAGGTAATTCCAAAGAAATCCGCTCCCTATAGATCCTTAATCTCATTGGCTGTCCGAAAATAAAATCTGTCAAGGTCAGTAAACATGGCGGATAAATTTAAGCTGTGATGTTGACATACACGAAAAATACTGATATATGGATTGTTCTGTATATTTTTGGATCGATTTATGTCTTGGATAACTAGATTTTGGAAGTCCAGGTAAGACATATAAATAAAGTAGACGTTTACTGACAATTTGAGCCGAAATCCGTGCGGGAGCGAATCGCTCCCGCTCTGCACCATTACGGAGATCCTAAGGAGTTGTAGCCCTCTCCCAAAAAAAAAAAAAAAAAGGGAGAGGGCTACATTATTGCAGCTAGTCACGGAGCAGTCACATTATTTCCTAGGGACACCGATGACTTGGATGAATAACACAAAAATTCTTTTTTCTTTAGAAACCAGCAATATTTTTTCATAGATCTATATTCAGATAGGGGACGTGAGTAATGTTTGCAAGGCAAAATGGCAGAAACTTATAAAATTGTGACTCAGTGTTGAAAATGTGTGCAAAAGTATGGAATTGCATAAAAACGACAAATGGTGCATATCTAAGCAGCAAAGAATACATAAGATTACTTTATATCTTACGGATTAATTATTTATGTTATTTCCGTTCAAAAAATTTATATTAATCCACGCATCAAAATTTTGTTTGTGTTATGTATCCTTAATAGGTTAAATATTCACAAGTCGGCCAATCGTCGCCCGATCATCGAGCTCTGAGCTACAGTTTGATTTTAACCGTCGGCCGAAATTTTCAACACACTTATTGTCCAACGACGGACGACCGACTTAATAAACTGACCGCCGATGGTCGGACGATGATCGAAGGTTGGTCGACGGATAACTGTAGTTGAAGAAATCGGCCACCGACGCATGAAAAATTATAACTTGGACCGATGGACACAAAATTGGTCGGCCGACAAAAAAATAAGTCAAAATCGGCCAAGACAACGGCCGATGAACTGATGACTGTCACCCGAAGAATCCCATTTTTGCTTCAAAACCCGTCGGCCGTTGGTCGTTTTTGGAAATGTGACTGGGGTTTAAGTGTAAGAATGATAGATCAATTTTCAAAATTTTGAAATTTTTCACAAATATGATAATTTTTGCGAGGTATTTGAAAGGATGTTTGGACCTGTGTGCTTAATAAAATTGTCACAAATATGCGTCATCCCTATTTTTTCTGAACAGTATGGCAAGCCCTTTTGCTATTTATTCGGAAAAATTAAATTTATCTTAAAATTACAGAAATATCTCTCGTTTTAGAGAGATATTTCATAAAAAATAGATATATCTCCAAACTTAAAGAGATATCTCTCATTTTAAGAGATATTTCTTTGAGAAAGAGATATCTTTTAAACTTACAGATATATCTCTTATACTTAGACATATACATGTATCTCTTTTTATAAGAGAGTTATCTTTTCCACTTGAACAGATATCTCTTTCTCCTTGAGAGATTTCTCTTTCGTGAAAAGAGATATTTCTTAACGTTAAAGAAAAATCTCGTTCACCTATAGAGATATCTCGTTTAGTTTTGGAGATATCTTTCCAAGTGAAAGAGATATATCTTAAAGTAAAACAGATATCTCTCTTAGATAATCTTAAGAGATATCTCTCAAAGTGAAAGAAATATCGTTCAAAAGTGTCTAAAAGAGATATCTCTCAAGCAAAAAGAGATATCTATTTATTACAAAGAAATATCTCTCCTCGTTATTTTTTTTTTAATTCCATTTGAAATGACTTCTCCCTTTACCGGATGTAAGCTTTTTATACACGGAAGTACATTAAAGTTTGTTTTAAATTCCAACATATTCAACTTTACTTTCTGTTTCGCTTTCTTCTTAAGGGGAGAGTTAATTATTTTATTTTAAGGATGTCTGGAAAAGAGATACCTCTTTTATTAAAAGAGATATCTCTTTAGCTTAGGAAGATATCTCTTTTTGAAAATCTAAAGAGATATCTCTCTAACTAAGAAATTAAGATATCTCTTTTTTAACCTTTTTAAAGATATATCTCTATAACTTTTAGAGATATCTCTCTCGCTTAAAGACATATCTCTCTCGCTTAAAGAGATATCTCTCTAGCTTATAAAGATATCTCTTTTAGTAAAAAAAAATATCTCTCTTACAAAAAGAAAAATCTCTTTTGTTTAAATTTTTTTTATTTCACGAACAAATAGGAAAAGGGCTTGCCATAGAACAGACATCATCTGTTTTAATACCTGCCCTCCCCTTATTGATTCAACAAAAGACAGTTAAACCCTTATCAGTAGCAAGAATGGACTCTTTAAACATGAAATATCATAAATTGTAAATATCTTCCACTCGTATTTCTTTTTGAAAATAAAAGAAAGATGTGCAAAGAACTTTCTTAACATTCTTTAAATGTATTATACAATATATAATACAATGTATAATATATAAATATGTTTCATTTATTTAAGTGTCTATGTTCCTAATTTTAGTTGAGATTTACAATTTAGACACCACAATGGCCACCAGTCCTCTAATGGCCCAAGAAATCATCCTCTGTTGTCTATGTGATGAGAGACCGGCCCTGTTGCACTGTCATCCCTGCCAGACCAACTTATGTCAAGAATGCCTCGGAAAACATTATTTGCTGGACACTCCTCATGACGTAATTAAATATAAAAGCAGAAAGTTTCAACTTAATTTTCCACATTGCGAAATTCACAAAACAGAAAAATGCTGTGCCAGTTGCCAGGATTGTGAAATACCAGTTTGCATGAAATGTGTAACAGGGACTCACAAAGGCCACATTCTTACTAATCTTGCCGAAGATCTTGCAAGCAAAAAACAGCAGATAGAAGAACATTCAGCTGTTCTTGAAAATATTATGAGCCAGTTTGATCAAGCTAACTTGGATATAGAAGCCAAGATAACGTATCTGATTTCTAGATGCGATGATCTACAAACAACCATCACGGAACAGGGCGAAGAATGCCATCAAGTTATTGAGGATATCGTGAAGAAAAAAAAGAAAGACGTTGACAAAATGAGAAAAGGTGCGATTCAAGATTTAAGAAAATTCCAGAATGAAAACAATAGAACATTCTTGAACATAAAAGAAATAGCACAACAGAATAAAGATATTCTTCAGTCAGTTAATGTGAGGGATATTGGCCAATATCAATTGAAATCGTACGTGAATATGCCTTTGGATTTTGAATTACATCAACCAAGTTTGGTTACTAAGGAGATTGATTCAAATCTAATTTGCACATTCTTTGGGGAACTTACTAGTCCCAAATTTTTATCGAAACCAAGTAAAAGGATATACCCTGGTTTAACAGCTGGCAAAAATCTTCTAGCTGAAACGATTGAAATTGGAAGTTTCTGTACCGAAATCGACGAAATTCATCGTTTAGCTTGTCTTGAGACAGAGGAGGTTTGGATTTCTCGAAAGAACGATGGAATAATCGAACGATTTAATATAGATAGTTTCCGGCCGAAAGAGGCGGTTATTTCCAATTGTCGTAGTTGGAAAGGACATCCAAGTGACATAGCAGTAACACCGACAGGAGAACTACTCTATACCGATCGGAAGAATCGTGACATTTGTGTTGTCCAGAATGGAAAATCTATCAAGTGGATAAAAGTTCCGAAAAATTGGGAACCTGCAGGAGTTTGCACCACAAAATCAGGAAATCTGCTCGTCAGTTTACTTGCAGTGAATACTGAAGCATATAAAATTGTTCGCTTTGAAGAAAAGGAGATAGTTCAGGAAATAGAAAAAGGCGCCTATGGCAGTCCTTTATTTAAAGGCGGTTCCTTGATGCTTTTTGTTGCAGAAAATATCAATGAGGATGTGTGCGCTTCTAATTGCAATGACGATTCCGTCACGGTGGTAAACAAGAAAGGAAGATTCCGATACCGTTATAAAGGACAACACACGATGAAGAAACAATTTAAACCTTCTACTATTGTTACAGACTCTGTGGGAAGCATTCTGATGGAAGATTTCGGAAACGAATGTATCCACATCATTGATCAGGACGGAAGATTTCTCTGCCGTCTGGGTTTCTGTGGAAGACTTAGTATAGACAAAGTAGGGCGGCTTTGGGTGGGAGAGTATGGCAGTGGGGAAGTAAAGGTCATCAAATACATAGAATAATAACAATAACTGTAATTATACCCCCGATTGAAAAGCGGGAGGTTATATAGTAATCGGTATGTCCGTCCGTCCGTCTGTACGTCCGTCTGTCCGTCCGTCTGTCTGTTACGCTTTGGGGTACCCATCTCTTATCCGCACTTCCTCTTATACCACTGAGTGAAATTTAATGAAACTTTCACAGAATTTATTACATATTGCCATTGTGCACCTCCTATTTAACTTTTTTGATCCGACACATATTTTGATTTTCCCGTCCACAGAAAAACATGGACTTTGCCATTATAACCATATGGGAGGTGGGGGTATCATTTAGTAAGCCCATTGCTCACAATACCTCTAGTTTCCCAACAGTTAGTTTTGAAGTATAATGCAAATGTTGGTATAAATGGTTACAATAAGTGGTTATCCCCATTTCCTCTTATACCACTAAATGAAATTTGATGAAACTTTCACAGAATCTTTATTACATACTAGTATTGCCATTGTGCACCTCCTATTTTACTTTTTGGTCCGACACATATTTTGGGTTTCCCATAGCAAAACATGGACACTGCCATTGTATTCATATGGGAGGCGGGGGTATCTTTTATTGAGCTCATTGCTCACATTACCTCTAGTTGTTCTGTTGTTCTTTTGTCACGAATTCTATTTTCATTATGTCTTAATGATCTTATTTTTTATTTTATTAAACACAATTGTTCATCAATGGAAATTCCAATGATAGACCTATTTTATTGATAAATGCTGATGATAGTTTTAATTTCTGAAACTCCAGATGGTTTGCAACATACGAAAGCCCATTGAGCTCATTTTCGTAGGTTAAAAAAATAATTAGTTCGCGTTATAACGCGTAACTTTCGCGATATAACGCGCAACTTTCGCGTATAAACGCGTAACTTTCGCGTTATTACGCGAAATTTTCGCGATATAACGCGTAACTTTCGCGAATAAACGCGAAACTTTCGCGTTATTTGGCGAATTTATATGCATATAGTAATGTTTTCAGGGACCTAGATCTTCACTGACAGATAAGAACATGAACGCATACATGGTCTTTTATGAATTTATATTAATAAATTATTATTTCCTCAGAAGATGTCCTGGAGAAATGATGCGAGAATGGTTCGACAATAGGAAAGATTAGTCATCAATTTTTTTTTATTTCAAAACCCTACCAATTAATAAACTGAATTTTACTTTCTTGTACATGTGTTTCAGTTGTTAAATTCAAGAATTTCTTTAGACTGATTATTTTATTGAAGGAAAGTCTCCATTTGACACTTTCTCAAGCATTTTTTATCAGTAACATTTACTACAATTGTACCACTAATAAATTAAGCAATCCATCATTTTAAATTAAAAAGTTATACCTTGTAGAAACATAGCTTAAAAGTGAGTGAACAATGTGTCATTTCATGAGCTTAACGTGTCAGATGATGTTTTTAAGTAATGAATATAAATTGATATTGTTAATTAGAAATTGATCGAGGAGGAGGGATCTACTTTTCCTTAAATTTTCTCAAATATTTATATATCTGAGAGGTTATTGAAAGTTTGTGGACTAGCGCCATGAATCAAAACACTAAGGATCTACAGCAAACAAAGAGTTTTTACACTTTGAATTAATTGTCAATGTTTTCGTAAGCAACGGAATGACAACGTGGCGCAACCTCAAAATACGATGTCGTATTTCTACAGTGAATCTAACGGAGACAAAGGAAAATTTCACATCCAATTTTCACCCACGTGGTGGGACACAATTGACAATTTTACCTTATTTTGTTAATTTTCTGAGATCTTAGTCTTAACAATCTTATTTCAAATTCTCTTGAGAGTGTAAAAAAAGACGTCCGAAAGGGTTGGATTCAATAGCAAGAAAACTTAAAATTGTAGCTTGTGATGGTCCAAGATCAAAATGGACTTTTGCTTTTCTTTGGAATGCATAAACTAGATCAAAATGAAAAGAAAGTTAAGACTTATTTAAATGTCTTGGTTAAACAGCAAAAGTTTCGCGTTATAACGCGAAAGTTTCGCGATATAGTGCGAAAGTAACGCGTTTATTCGCGAAAGTTTCGAGTTATAACGCGAAAAATTAATTTTTTTAACCTACGAAAATGAGCTTGAAATGGGCTTTCGTAGCACCAAGTGTTGAATGTAGTACATTCTTTTACTATACAATGGAATTTAACTGTAAAAGTAGAAGAAAAAAAAACAAAATGTGTTGTATTTAGAAATGTCGGAAAATTGAAACCAGTTGAAAAATGGTATTACTGCGGGCAAGAGATAGATATTGTGAATCATTCTTTATGAATCCCGCTCCTGGGTATGATGTTTAACTATAATGGTTAATTTTTTCAAACTCAAAACATATTTCTGCTCAGGGTAAATGTATAGTTTATTTTAAAAAATGAAAGATTTGAAATTCAATGTGGAAAATAAAATTGCTCTTTATGATACGTATGTAAGTAGTGTGTTATGCCATGCATCAGAAATGTGTGTGTGTGGGGGGGGGGGGGCACAAGTGACCAGATGTATATAAAAAAAAAAGTATACATATGTCATATTGTAAGAGAATTTTAAACGTTAGAAAAACTACTTGTACTGATATGATTTATTGTGAACTAGAAAGAGTAACACATGAAATGTATCGAAAAAAGAAAATTTTAAATTACCGATTAAAACTACAAAAAAAGTGACAATTGTTTACTAATGTTTTGTCTTGTTTACAGGATAGGATTAAAACAAATGATGATGTGTGGATTTCAAACATAAGAAATAAATTCAGCCTAAGTGGGTTATCAAATCTATATAACAATAGTGAAGTAAATTCACATTCTGTTAAGATATTGTACGAAAGAATTTGACTTTATTTGTGATACTTTCAAGCAAAAAACATTGTCAAATATGCATATTTCATGAATAGGATTTTATACCGACATTTGGTGGATAGTTATACCCCCACTTGAAAGCGGGAGGGTCTATAGTAATTTGTATGTCCGTGCGTCCGTCTGTCTGTTACGCTTTGGGGTATCAATCTCTTATCCGCAACTCCTCTCATACCACTGAATGAAATTTGATGAGACTTTCACAGAATCTTTATTATATATTACCATTGTGACCTCCTATTTTACTTTTTGATGCAACACATATTTTGGGTTTCCCATAGCAAAACATGGATACTGCCGTCATATTCATATGGGAGGCAGGGTGGAGGATTATCATTTAGTGAGCTCATTGCTCACAGTACTTCTAGTTTTACTTTGCAGTCATATCTTTGTAAACCTTTACAGATAAAATATATAACATGTACGTGTTTTCAGAATAAGATTATTGCTCCTGACTTAAAAAGTGAAAGAGGGAGATACAATGATACACCTAGGAATTTCAGAAAAATCGATCTTTGTGATACGGGGGAATTAGAAGATGATTTTCATTTTTTACTGAAATCTCCAAAATATGACAATTTGAGAACAAAAAATATGTATCAAAAACTATTATTCATTTCTTCCAGGTGTCTGTAAATTAGTACAATTGTTCAAATACTTGAGAAATATGTAACATTGGAAAATATACTATACGAGTATATATGTTTTGCAAACAAATAAAGAAATGAATTGTTGGAATTATAAATGCTGTACATATTCATTCATACGTAACACTATATAAATATTGCATATAAACCGTGCGCGCATAAATTCCGCGCAGTCGCTATTTTTTGTAATACCACCCGTCGTCAAGCAATGTTGACTGTTGCTACGCAGGAGGGCGTGGCTTCATTATTCAGAGGGTAGTAGTGTTTTTTATCAAATGTTTCTCGACGAATCAGATTCAAGTAATTTACATGAAAGTATAATATTATACATTACTTATGCTGTTATGAATTTTTCTACTGTGTAATATATGTATTATGTATTTATAGTTTATATCTCTGATATGTATGTCTCTTGGTTTTAATAAAATCTGAATCTGAAAATCAGTATGCATTGTACATGTACATTTCATAGTCTTCCGATACTCGTAAATTGTTCACCTTGTCGATTCTTCAGATTCTTGTAAATTTCTTATGTCTTTCACAAATTTTAAAAAACAATTTTCAATTGTCAATGAGTGTACATAACTAATTTATTTAGTCAAGTACTCATTGGCAATTGAAAATTGTTAATTATAGTGAAAGACACTTACATTGTCATTTTTCATTTGTCATTTGCAAAATCATTTTGTTAGAAAAATATGTATTATGATTGTAGACACAAATAGTCTAAAAATAAAGTACATTTATTAAAGAGATGCTTGAGTTTCTGATTGTGCAACGTTATTGGGAAATCTATTTTTTGTATTCATATAAAGCGGTATTTCTTTTTAAAAAAAAAATAGAGAGAGATGGAAACACTGGCTGTCACAGTGGCTTTCAGCTCAACACTTAGATACATGTATATCGACAATATATTATAAATTACAATTGTTACTTAGTTACTTCCATTCATTTGTCGACTCAGTATAACAAAGTGAACTTGGAATAACAGATACCACGGAGTCTGACACATTTACTCTATATTTAAATATTTTACAGTAGAAAACGTAACAAAGTCTGTCATAGCTCTGTTTCATATTTGGATTTCATATTTGCTATGAAAAGACGTTATTGATAATCTTTAAAGTTTAGCGCATTACGACGATAGGCAAACAAGCTAAGACGCTGAAGGCTTTACCGAGGCGGGCCGGATTGAAGCGCAGGAAAGGGAAAGGTGTGGGAGAGACCATCCCCTCCATAAAGCAAAGGGGGTTCACAAGAAAAAAAAAAGAAACAACTTTACAGAAGATCTTCCGGGAGTAGAATATATTGTTATTTTTTTAAGTAGGTTACAAGAAAGATCTCTATTTGATATGCACGTTCTCTTATAATTTCTTTAAAAAAATATTTCAGCTTAGTATAATGCTAGTACATGTCTTAGACAATCTTTGAGTCTTACAACTGTCAACTTTTTTATGTAGTTAAATGC